GGACAGTCAGACAGGTTTTAGGCAGCCCTGCTGTGAGCCTGCATGGCTGGGAGCTGCTCTCAGACCCAGCATTACCGAACCCACCAAAAGCTGCCAAAACGTCTTGTATGGTGCTGAAGTCACAGATGACTAATGTGGGCAAGTAGGCGTGGGGATGCATTCCTGCACAGCATACAGAAGAGAAGGGAAAAGAGAAGGTAAATGTAATCCCGAAGGAGATTCCAGAGGGAACAGCAGCTTGTGTGCAACTGGGAGCGCGATGGTGTTTTGTGTGTGTCACCTGCTCCTTTCCTAACAAGTGTCTGCTGAGCTAAAGCCCTTGTAATGTGGTTGGAGGTTGTGGGAGGGCTGAGGAGCTGTTCGAAATCCCTCAGGTTTTTGGAACACATCTGCAGGGCTTTAGGAGCTGCCTTTGGGAAAGGAGATAAACTCTTATCTACCGCTGTTGTCAGAAATGGATCCAAGGAATAGCCGCAGTGTCCTGCAATGGTTCTGTGGGCAGAGGTTGAGCGGCTGCAGTTTTGTTGGGTTTCGGACAAGCTCAGATAGGTTTTGATGATTCTGATTTACGGAGAACGCTGTGATTTAATCCTCCTGTGCTGTAAATGACATTGAATTCTCTTCTTCCATAACAAACATTCCTCATCACTGGGTTGTAGTTTGATTTTCTCATGGGGCGCATGCGTGGATGGAGCAGTTGCATTAAGGCATCTCTTCTCCTCTGCAGCATTTCAATTACATTTCCTGATATACAGTACATGACTTAATGGATGACGCAGTTGTTAAAAGCTAAACCTGGGTCTAAGCCAGACCTCCCTGAAACAAGTTTGGTGGCTTCTAACCTCAGGAAGAAGGTTTTGTAGCCTCTCTGCTCAGTCTTAAGTGCTGACATTTAAGACCCACAGGACACTCAGAACTATTACCCACTGGAGATGAAACTGGTTGCCCCAGGCTCCTGAAGGGAAGGTGCTGTTACTCGCTACCAAAGGTGTTAGGAAGACACTTGGCCAGTTGTCCTCCGTTGTGGCCTTTTGCTGGTTGTGTTAGCAGGAGCAGATGAGGGCTGTTACAAGATTTAGTCTACTCTGTACAACTTAAGCCTAATGTAAGTGTAAAAACCACGCAGATCTCAACAAGTTTCTGCGGTTAAAGAGGAGCTAATGCCTTTTGCAGAGGGCACACAACTCCTTTGGTTTTGCTTAATCAAAAAGCTAAGTCATGTGCAGTGTAATTTTATGGAGACCACTGACATTTGTGTTGTCCAAGTTTATTGCTTTTCTCAGTACGCGGCACCTTCCCTTTTACATGCTCCCTTGTTTGCCGTCGTTAAAAGAGTCCGGGAGACACACTGTAGATCACTAAAACCTGCTTTAGTGTTTGTATTTGAACAGATGGATGTTAATGCTGATTGTTTGTTTCAAAATAAAGTTGCAAATAGTAGGTAGATTATTTGCATGTCCAGCTTTAAAGTGCACATTGCTCAGAGGCTTGTGACATGATTGAGCAACTTAGTCTAGCGCAAGGTGTCCCTGCCCACGGCAGGGGGTTAGAACTGGATGAGCTTCAAGGCCCCTTCCAACCCAAACAAATCTATGATTCTACTATCACTTCAGTGCTTTCATGTGGGAAGAGTGATGCCTTTGTTGTAATGAAGTCACTCCTGTCAATACACGACCATTGAAACATGGTATGTTCCAGAAAATGCTGTCATTAAGAATAAGGAAACTTCCTGCAGGTCCATGGCAGTAATTAATTGTTTCTTCCAGGTTTGATTCCTTACCCTTTTCCCCCAGGATCTAACACGGCGTTTCTCTTTCTCTTGCAGACCATGCCATCTCTATGACGGTTGCTTGTTAAGCTAACTCTGCATGCCAGAAGACTGTCCCTGGTGGATCCAAGGGCTTTTGGGGACTCCAGCCTCTCCCCAGTTTTTCCACGTGTGTGTGTTCCTCTAGAACTTTCAAAACTGTTTCTCCAAAGGGTTTTGCAGAAACTTAGACTGTTTTCTAAAGCAGAAGCACCCGAGTCCACAGCAGTAGTGATGGGCAGCGTGCGAACCAACCGCTACAGCATCGTGTCTTCGGAGGAGGACGGCATGAAGCTGGCAACCATGGCTGTTGCCAATGGCTTTGGGAATGGCAAGAGTAAGGTACACACCAGACAGCAGTGCAGGAGCCGCTTTGTCAAGAAAGATGGCCACTGCAACGTCCAGTTCATTAACGTGGGTGAGAAGGGACAACGATACCTGGCAGATATCTTCACCACTTGCGTGGACATCCGCTGGAGGTGGATGTTAGTTATCTTCTGCCTGACTTTCATCCTCTCCTGGCTTTTTTTTGGCTGTGTGTTTTGGTTGATTGCACTGTTGCATGGGGATCTGGAGAATCAAGAAAACAGCAAACCTTGCGTCTCTCAAGTGAGCAGCTTCACCGCAGCCTTTCTATTCTCCATTGAGACCCAGACCACGATTGGCTATGGCTTCAGGTGTGTCACAGACGAGTGCCCCATCGCAGTGTTCATGGTGGTTTTCCAGTCTATAGTAGGCTGCATCATTGATGCCTTCATCATTGGTGCTGTCATGGCAAAGATGGCTAAGCCAAAAAAGAGAAATGAAACTCTCGTCTTCAGCCACAATGCCGTGGTGGCCATGAGAGATGGAAAGCTGTGCCTGATGTGGCGTGTTGGAAACCTGAGGAAAAGCCACTTGGTGGAGGCACACGTGCGAGCACAGCTCCTCAAATCCAGGATCACGTCAGAAGGGGAGTACATCCCCTTGGATCAAATAGACATCAATGTAGGCTTTGACAGCGGGATAGACCGCATATTCCTGGTCTCCCCAATTACAATAGTACATGAAATAGACGAGGATAGCCCTTTGTATGACTTGAGCAAACAAGACATGGACAATGCTGATTTTGAAATTGTAGTAATATTAGAGGGCATGGTGGAAGCTACTGCCATGACTACCCAGTGCCGTAGCTCATACCTGGCAAACGAAATCCTCTGGGGCCACCGCTACGAGCCCGTACTCTTTGAAGAGAAAAACTACTACAAAGTGGACTACTCGAGGTTCCACAAAACATATGAAGTGCCCAACACACCCATCTGTAGTGCCAGAGACTTAGCAGAAAAGAAGTACATTCTCTCTAACGCAAACTCCTTTTGCTACGAGAACGAAGTGGCCCTCACCAGCAAAGAGGAGGACGAGATTGACACTGGGGTGCCTGAGAGCATGAGCACAGACACCCACCCGGACATGGACCACCACAACCAAGCAGGGGTGCCTCTAGAGCCACGGCCGCTACGGCGGGAGTCGGAAATATGACTGATGGACTCTTCCTCTCTCTTGTGGTTGAAAGGAAAACCAATACACCTATCGGTCAAAGGCACGTTGACCTGAGAAGTTGGCCCAGAACAGTTTTCAGACAACGGTACTGTTGAAGAGCGGTGTGAAGGCAAGCAGACCTGAGAAACCCGGGCTGGTTTTAGGGCTGTCCTCAGAGGAGGGACGACAGGAAATGAACTTTAAACACAAAGCACTAAACATGTCTAAGTATGAACAGAAGGCACATATGTTGTAGAATAAATTATGTATATATTTTTTTACAAAACTTGAACTTGCAGGCAAGCTTTGGTTGGGTTATTATTATTTTTGTTTTCAACTTTTTCCAGAATGCTTCTCTCTAGGGAACAAGAATGTTTTTAATGGCATAACAAAGGCAAGAATCTGCCTTATTATTATTATTATAATTATTTTTTAACGAGCTGCTGCTAACTACATGAACACAAATGGTTATTTTTGTTGCAGTGTAGTTTTGTATTATTTTTTTTTCTCTTGTGTAATTTAAAAACTCAAACCAGAAAAAGTCAGTGTTGAACTTTTGGGGTTGAAAAGCTTAAGAGAGGCCGATGTTGCCAGAAAGTCTAAACTCCTTTTGAGGCCAGTAGGTTGAGAGCTCGAATCAGTTTCTCTCTTTCCAATTACATAAGGGGCATTATGTAGTATCAGGCCAATCAGTCGCCTCCAGCAAAATTGTGATTGGGGGGGGGGGTGTGTTGGAGAATTTAATTCTCTGTCTAAAGGAAATAAAATATATATATAGACACATAGACAAAGTACTACATTAAAACTACCTAAATGGATACCAAAGAAAATGCAGAGTTTTGCACAGTGGAGTTTATTTAAAAAAAAAAAAAAAAAGAAAGAAAAAAAAGAAAAAAGAGGCTGCTTAAAAAAAATCAAACCTCAGTCACTTTTTTTTGGTGTTATTTTTTTTTCTCTTTTCTTTTTAAGACCTTTATTTTGCACCTTATTCAAAAAGCTTAAGACTCAGATCTGAAGTGAGCTAAGACTCCTCCCCTTCCCCCCCCCCCGCTCTTCTATGGGCAAAGAATCCCTAAGGAGAAATGCAGTTGGGGAAAAGCAGGCAAGCACCCAGCTGTCCCCTTGAGCAGAAGGGCAAGTGTCCCAAACCAGTGCTGGACCTCAGCCTCCCCAAAACTGAGCCACCCTCCGCAGGCATCTGCCCTGAGCCCCTGGCTCCATTGTGTTACTGCTCAAACCATGCCAGGACGATGCAAAGCTGAGGTCCAGGCTTGAGGCACAGATGAGCTGTGTAGGGAAATCTCCCCAGGAAGAGGTTTTTAAAGAGGAAAGGACAGGGTAATGGAGAGGAAAAGAGAAAACAACTTTTCTAACACAGCACTTGGGAATGGCGCAGGGATAGTAATTGTGTTTTGCAATAAATGCTTCTCATGGGTATCAAAGAAAGGGTATTTTCCATCTCATTGAGAGAGGAAGGGAGATTTAGGTTGGATAGAAGGAAGAAATTCTTTACTATGAGGGTGCTAAGGCACTGGAACGGGTTGCCCAAGGAAGTTGTGAAAGCCCTATCCCTGTCAGTGTTCAAGGCCAGGTTGGACACAGGGGCTTGGAGCAAGCTGCTCTAGTGGAAGGTGTCCCTGCCTGTGGCAGGGGTTAGAACTGGATGAGCTTTAAGGTCCTTCCCAACCCAAACCATTCATGATTTGGAGAGGATGAGACTACAAAGCAAGGTCCACCTCGTGCCCCCTCTCCCCAGTAAACAAGGAATGGTCGGTGGACAAGACACATCACCAAACTCTGAGCAGGTGGTGTGACTTTGACTGAAGCTCTAGCTCTAGTGGTATTTTGGCTCCTTCACCCAGAAGGCTTTAAATTCTCTGTGCCTCTAAGATCAAGGAGATGGTGAACCTGTGCTTCACGCTGGCTCCCCGAGGAGCGGGTGGAGAGGGGTGGTGGTGGTGGGGACGATAATCCTAGTCAACTCTTGCAGTATTGGATCACTGTATGCCATTAAAAAACAGCTTGTTCTAGGTCTAATGTCTTCTGCAAATGGATATCTGTGAAGGCCTCTGGCCCCTTCCAGCCCTGCCTGAAAGAAATGCCTGCAATGAAATGGTTTCTGATAAGATGGTATCTGCAGTTGGGTGGGTTCGAAACTGTGGAAATGCGACATTGTAAACATGGATTTGGCTGCTAGAGAGGGCAGATGATTAAATGCAAGTACTAAGGCTGTTGCTGGGGTGGGGGAATGTGAAAGGAGGGAAAAGCCGAATATATAAAGGAGATTGGATTGCAGTTTCTGGGTCAACAGTAGTGAAGACAACTGAGTGCTGCTAGTGCTGCTATTGTGATATTCTTGTAAAACCTAAACCAAAGAGTATTCAGTGACACAGAGAGTGCATGGAAATGCAATGTGGAAGGGATGGAAAAGGGAGACTGACCAGGAGAAAAGGGTCCTATTCTCCAGATCAGGATCCCTTAGGTGCACAATGTTCCCACTAAATGATACTTGAGATATTTGAGGGATGGGAAATGCAGGATCCAACTCGTTTCTTTAAAGCAAAAGAAATTCAGAGAAAAAAAGAAGTGAAAATCCCCTCCCCTTACCATTTGTGGTGCAGAGGTTTGGGGCTTGGTGGGGGTGGTTCTTCATTTTGTTTTGTTTTTCAAGTCAGTTTTTCAGAACTATTTTTAAAATGTACATTTTATAAAGTTTATCAAGTATTTTCATATTTAAAGCCAAATGTAAATAGAAGTCTGTAAAGGAGGACAAGGAGAAGAAGAAAAAGAAGAGGCCACACAAAGTATAAATCCTGCTCGGCAGTCTCAGCTAGCTAGTACCTAGATGCTACCGGTTAGCATGAGTTTTAGCAAATACTTGCAAGCCTTATAGGATTCCTAATGCTATGGACTTCTCTTTATTTATTTTTTAAGCATGGACTTCATTTGAAAACCTGTTCTAGTTACTGGCATTTTTCAAGAGTTACCAGCTTTCCGAGTGCTCGACTTGTCGAGGGCGTGCATTGAGGTAAATCCACTGCACTCTCTGCCACCTTCTTTTTGTTCTATTTTCTTTCATAACCCTTTGTCTTTGCCGACTGAATCTTAACATTGCAGAATTGCACTCAGCCTCTGGCTCCGGGAAGCTGCTAGAAAGAGACCTGCAATGTACACTCCATGGTACCCTTTCCCCTTTGGCCATCGGTTCTGTATTTCTCAACACCGGTAAGCCCAGTGTAGGACAGACTGTTGTAGCACAGTTCCACAGCAGCAAATTGGGTTAGTCCTTTAAAAGTACTGTTATTTGTAAGGACTACACAGTGACTGACAGCGTTTCCTGGTGAGCCTGGGCCAAGCTGATGCTTCATTAGGGGCCCTTCAGATGGACTGAGCTCTACCCACAGACTCCAACCCGCATTGGTTCGGCCTCTTTATCAAGGATAAAGTTGGCTGAAGCGGCTCGCACAGAAGGTTTATGCTGTATTTCGCTTAGGGGCTGGGGGAAATATGTTATTTCTGCCCTTCCCTGAAAATACTTGAATGAGACACATTGTCTAAAACAAAATCCTGTGTGCAGTGCAGTGACAAAAGCATTTCTGAGGCAGGTGGGGATGGATCTCCTCCTTCCTCTGTCCCTTCCGTGCGAGGTGTCCTTGGTTAAGCAGCAAGGGTAGAAAGCATCACTTACTCACTGTGTTTAAGGATATTCTCTCCCAGCCACGATAAACTTCTGTGTTGTTAGTTCAGCACTCGCTCTTCTCGGAAAAGACAAAGGGTCCAGATACTTCATTTGTTCTCTTAGGTCTTCTTTTTCATGATGGATTACAAGGTAAAACTGAAAAGTACTGTAATGTCTTTAAATTATGGCTGCTCATGACCATTGTACAGCAGAAGGGTGCTGCGTAGTTGCCATCCCACAGCCAATGAGAAACTGATTTTGTAAAGACTTTTGGCCTGCAGCTATTGTAAGGTGAACAATCTAGGCATCTGACAGTTGTCCATAACTATTTTCCTGTTTGCAGCCTTTTTGTATCAAAGTCTTCCTAATGTACTGCACAAATTGTGGATTGTACAGATTTTTATATATTATGTCTTATTTTATTATTTCTAAATAAATAAAAAAAAAATGAGAATGAATTGATGTGTGCAGTGTGTGTGTAAATGAGCCAGGAGGAGGGTCTGGAGGTTATTATACATTATAAAGCTGTGTTTATGGCTGGCTGAGCACAGGCATTGTCCAAAGCACTTTGGGAACAGCCAGGTCATTCTCTCCCTTGACAAAAGGCAGGAGGAAAGGTGATACCACCATTATACCATCATTATTTCCCAGATGGGAACATAAATGTAGTGCAGCATAAGGTAACTTGCACAGAAAGCATATCTGCCCCAGAGAGGCAGAGGGGCTTTCTCAAGGTCCTACTTGGAGCTGCAGAGCTCCAGATCATGAATTACAAGTTGTATGAAATGGAAAAAAACCTCCAAGTCTGCATGAACTACAAAGAAGGGGAACGGAGGGGATGAAAGCACAGGGTATAAGCAAGAACATTGAAAGATTTGGAGAGGGATTAAAACATTAAGCAGGAAACTCATCTTCAAATCCCTGTGTTTTATGTCTGCCTGGAACATCCCCTTATGGAAACAGTGCTCCTCAGCTCAGCTCAATTCCAAACACGCTCGCGGTAATCTTCGTACATGCCTCATCCGTCTGGAGTCCTGAGCCTGATGTTGCAGGCATGGAGCTGGGGTTTGTATGATGGGATGGGGAAGCACAACAGGGCCTGGAGTAACCAAGAAGGGACTCAATGCCCTCATTTGGTGTGTTGGGAAGCTCTTTTCCCATGTGTTTGTGTGTGGCCGTTAGAGCAGATACTGAGGCTGCCCAACCATGACTCAGCTTCAAACTGCTGATCTCACTGGAATGCAGCACCCTGCAGAGGCTGAGGGTGACCATGGAGCATTTCAGTGCAGTTGTGACCCTCTGATGATTTCCCAAACCTTTAATCAGCCTGCAATGCTGTTAAATGATGCCTCGGATGGAGCCCTGACCCTATCGTGAATGACTCCATTTATAAACCCAAATTTACTTTTCACATCTAATGGTCTCTTGGAAAAGCTTATAATAATGATAATAATTACAGGGCTGGATTTAGAGATACAGATTAGCTGTCACAGCCTGGATCTGCTTATTCTCCCTACTGTAAAGCACCCTCTGTGAGAGCTGCTCACTGCTCCGAGCCTGGCTTTTGATGTTTGCTGCTGGGGCAGCAGGTCTTTGCATGGTCTGCCTGGCTCACTCCAGTTGCCTAAATCATTAGCACCCTCTCCTGTCAGTGACTTTCCCTTCTCTTGCTGGCCACTGGGCCTGTCAGGTGGAGTCAGCATAAATACAGCAACAAAACACAGACAGTGTCTTCTGGTAGCCAGCAAGGTAAGAGCTGAGACATCTTCCTTCCCACGCTAGCTGATGCATCTAGCAAGCATCAAGCACACAAAACCCCACTCTGCCCTCCACCCCACTACAGCTGCAATGGCTTTCCATGGAAATTAGAGGATGAGTAAAACCAGCTGAGTGGTTGTGGAGTCTGAGTTTAAAATGACAAAGTTTCAAGTGAGGGAACAGGAATCAGTCTTTGTGATTGAGCAGCTCTGTGGGAGCAGTGCCTGTTGAGAGCAACAGCACTTTGCAACTGCTCACAGTAATCCTGTATTTCTTCTATAGGAAAAAAAATACTGTGAGAAGGGAAAGGAATGCTTCCACATGCTCCTAGGTGAGCACCAGCAGCATCACATGGACCATTCATCTCACACCCAGCACAAACATCAGAGGTAGGAACAGTACCCGGCAGTTTTCCAGGTGGCTCTGAAATCTGTAGCTGAATCCTGCCATTCATCTTATGCCTTGGGTAGACTTTATTTTATAAGGAGTTAACATTATTTCATAACCCTCTCTTTTTAGCTTGATGCATTGCCTTTGCTTTGTCCTCTCCTGCAGGTCGCAGAGATGTTCTTGCTGGTTTGCTGATGTCTGGGGACGGGACAGTAAAGTGAAAGCAATTAAAGCTATAGAAAGGTCAAGAATATAAAAATGAAATATGAGTCTTGAACAAATCATAGGGGTTTTTTTCCTTCTAAAGTTTTCTCTGAAATACAGTCTTTAATCTGTAACATTTACAGCTTGTTTGAATGTGCAAATGCAGGTGGTTAAAAGCAAAACAATGCCTTTTATAGGTTTGGGTGGGCAGGACAGAAAGGGGCTACAACCACACCTGCTTCAGCAATATGTGCGTTTTCTATTATTCTTCATAATGTTCCCCAAACTTTCCCTTCCTTACTGCTTGGATTTCAGCCCACAGACACTGGAAACAGATCTTATTTAAAGAATTATCTACATTGAGTCTCATTCAGTTGACAGGCGTGTTAAAATGTGAAATACCTACAGAACCACCCTTGGAAGCTGTGCAAAAGGGGAGTCATGAGCTGCAGCAGAGATTTCCTCTCCTTGTTGGATACCTTCCTTTTTCCACCTCCCAGTGGTAGCAGGTTCACTCCCATGTGAACCCTGCTTCCTCCTGATGCAAGAGGCAATCTGGATCCCTGGGGAGACCTTCCCTATTGCCGCAGGCAGGAAACCAAAGGTTTTCTTTCCAGCATCGATATTTTACTAACTCCTTGTTTTATTTTAAAGGCAAAATATCTGGCTGTGCATAAACTGCTCTTGATATGCAAATTAACTCATTAATTATTTTGTATTACATGGCATGCAAGGTGCCTTATGGCTATGCCTGTATTTCATCCAGGCTTGGAGCAGCAGGGCCATGGGGCTCACTGTGCTGCCTGAGCCCCCTCCAGCCTGCAAGTACTGATGCTCAGTTGTTAGTGCAGAACAAACCAGAGCACTCAGGTCACTACCTATGGAATTTCTTCATTATTGGGCTTTGAAACCAATCTGGTTGCTGGTGTTGCTTGAGACTAATGAACTCTAAGATGCTGCTTCCACTGAAATCATTACTGGAGTTCCATTTAATTGATGTATAATAGGCTGTTAAGAGGAAAGGATAGATTTCTACAGTTTAATAGCACAGAACAGGGATGAATCTCACCCTGGGGCAAAGAGATTACCCAGAGAAATCTCACTGCTTTAGCTTGATTTTTGAAGTCTTTTAGTATTCTCAAGTGGTGCAGTGGCTGTTAGCTCCCAGAAAAGATGGAAATGGTCATTTCCATCTTCACCCCTTTATTTCTGTGTGAGTCCTTTGCATGCGCACAGAGACTACGAGGCAGACCAAGCAAACACTTGTTTCTCTTTCCCATGTTGATACTTGCACTGGCTTCACTTGTGCTGGAAAGGTAGAAGCAGATCAAAAGTTGGTATTTTCTCTGTTTACACCTTAGGCAAGAGAGCTTTGGCTGTCTGCAGTTGACTCAGGATGTGTCTGTGATCTGTAGATGGAAACAGGGAATTCCATTCTTTCTTCTGCAAGAGTCTGGCAAGAGATGTCTGCCCTCTAATAAGAAGCCCAGCAGCTAATTGAAGATGGGGGGAAAAAGCTTTAAAGGAAGAATAAAGTTAATAAAGGTATGGAGCTGCTCAAATGTTCACACTGTATTTCAAAGCAAATGGAGTGCAAACATGCTCCATCTGCTCTTTGTAGCACACTGGTCTCCTTCAGCTGGAGCTACTCAATCTGCAGGGTTTGGGGTGGTTGTGACAGCAGTATCTAGGAAAGGAAAGCAATGAATTCATTGGAGGAAGGCAAAATGTCACCTGTAGTGTCACCTGCATCCTGATTTGCAAAGGCTGTGCTGGTGGTGATGATGCACTTGCAGATCCTGGTGTCCTCAGCCTCCCTTCTCCCGTCTGTACCTGTCCACCCTGCAAACCTGATTCCATATGGGAAATTGCTCTCGGAGCACCGGTGGGAAGGGAGGCTGCAGGGCTGGTTTATGGTCACTCCTGTACGCAAAGCCAAAGGGATTAAAAGCAATTAGAGAAGCCCTGATTTATCCTAATTACAGCCAGGGCTGGAGCTGTGTTAGAGGCATTATCTCAGGTTTCCAGTCTATCTCTCAGTGGGCTCAGGAGTTTATTTATGCCTTCTCGTTCTGTCCCCCTTCTTTTCTCTCTCATCCCAGTGACACCCATCATCAGTTTTGACCTCGAGGACCCTTGTGGGTTTGGTATTTACCTTCATAGCTGCCACGTTTCAATGCAGTTGGAGTGTCTTGGTGTTTTCAATATTTATAGCTCATTAACTCCCGTGATGAGATCCTTGTGCAGTTCTTTAGGCTCGGTGTTTAATGAGGAGGGGTTGCCAGAATGGCTGCGCCTGGCCCTTGGCGTGTTATCTGTCAGCTTTGCTATTGAATTAACTCGAGGTATGCATTGACTAAACATCTTTAGAACCATTGGACAAACAGACTCTGCAAGATTCATAAATTAATGCAAATCGGCTTCAAATATGTCAGACCAGCTCCCCCAGGAATCCCTGGACCCCAGTGTGTTGTGACAGCTCTTGTTTAAGCAAATCTGGATCTTTCACTGCGAATAATGAGAGCGCTTTCATCCTGAGCGGTATTACCAGTGAGACTAATGTGCCATTCTCCTCCTTAAAACTGTGGTCTCATCAGATATAAATTAAACCACTGGGAGAGCAGGGAAAGAAAATGTGAGTAGCATTTGCATATATTGTCCCTCCTTTTCATCTGCTGCAGGAATCACATCGCAGCATCTGTTTAATGCCGATACTGCTGTTACAGTAAATGATTCAACAGCCACAGCCTTTCATATTCTGGGGTTTCAGACTTGGAGGTTGTGTGACACATGTAAATTATGTGCATGGATTTGAGCTATAAGTCATGATGTATTGTTTGAAAGCCTCATTCACACACTTCAACTCCTGCAGGTTTCCTTCCATGGGTATTTCCATGTCCCTGGAAAGATTGCTTTAGACGATGGTCATTGCTGGTGGCTGTTCAGGAGGAAGCTTCCCAACACGCTTACAGGTAACTTTATCTACTCTAAAGGCTCATAGAGTTTTGCTGACACCCAGTTCATTATCTACAGGAGTACATAAACCCTGGGAGCTTCTGTAACCATGGCTGAGGTCTGCCTTTGCTGCTGACATCCTATTCTTTTTGGGCATGCATCTTCTGCTGCCAGGCTACAGATATATCAGTTACTATTTCCACTGGTACTGTAAGAGTCCATCGTGTGACTGTTACTCACAGCACTACACTGTATTACTTGCACTGACGAATGCAAACATGACCACTCAAATATATTACTACCCCTAACATGTCTTCCTAACTAAACACGTTCAGCCCGTTCCAACGTGGTAGATTTTGCTTCAGATAGGAGATGACCACATTCCTTCCTTGAAGTCTCTCCCCTCCATGTATCAAAAAATGTTAACAAATAGGCATAATGTATGCCCTGGGGAGCAGAGAAAGCTGCTTTTCTTTTTCTTGGCTGGCTTAATTCATGCTGGAGTTGTGTGACTTTTCATCTCTGCAGTCGGAGGAAAAGGCTAACTCCCAGTGTAAAAGTAGCATGATAAATGGTGGAAAAATAACTTGTTGGCTTTCCTAAGAAACTCTCCTCTCCAGCTCCTCCTCTTGCTGTACTCCTTCCAGCGCCCCAGAATTCATTGCATCAGTGCATGTTATGGCACCTTTGGGATGTGTTAGTCATAAGAATGAAGCTACTGGTGCTTTGCAGGCATATTTTAACTTTGGCTCTCACATGAGCGCTCTGTCACATCTGTGCTGTCTGCACGTCTGGGTAGCGTTTGCTTGCGGGTGCCTCCTGAGATTCCAGACAGCTCACAGAAAGGAAACATCTAATTTATATTGGTGAAGGTATGCGTGAGGTCCTTTTGTTGCTCTTTGGTGGTGGTGAGGGCTTTGGGGTACAGGGTTAACATGGGATGAAGGCAGGAGGGATGCCTCAAATGGGAACTGGAATGTCCAGCTCTGTTCTGTCCTTTCTCTTCTGAACACAGCAGGGTGGACAGGAAGAGGGGAGACTGCTTGCTCAGCAAATTTTGCTTGTGTGCCCCTATGTGTTATTTTCTGCGCGGGGTATACTGAACTGCATTGCCCTGGCCCCTTGTCATGGCACTCACTGTGTGCGGCTCCTCATGATGCTTCATCCCCTGTGACCAAAACGCATCAGGGACTGAGAAAATACAGCATCAGGAGGACCCACGCTCGCTGCCTCTGCCAAGCTGCTGCCACTGCGTACCAAATTGCCCATGTAATTCTGCCCCTTGTGCAGCAGACGTGAAATGGGCTTGATCTGAGCCTGTTCTCCTCATCTGAATTCATTCAGATCGCAGAATTAATCTGCAATTGTGTCTAATTAACTTCTCCCAGGGTGCTTTTGAGATGGGAGCTGATAAGTCAGTGTTGTGCGTTGTATTATGGACATTTTCTTCTGGGTATGCCCTGTGGTGCCCTCCTGCTCTCAAATGCTGTGATTTATGTGATTTTGGTTTATATGCAAAAAGGTGAGTTTAACCCTGAGTGTCTGTCTCTCTACTTTTGTAGAATTCCCAGTTTACTCCTGCAGGTTTTATACTTTTAGGCCCAATCTAATGTACCCAGCAGTGACTGGGCAAATACCAAGGCAGCTTGTCAAGCAGCATGTTATCCACCAGCAAATATACCAAAGTCAGTCAGACTTAGAATGCCGAGGTGTTTGCAATCAAAATCCTCAGGTATTGCACATATATTCAGTCTATTACATGTATATTTGGTCCTTGTGTGCTCTAAGGAGTTTGCTCGTGTTTTGCACATAACCACAATCATTTTATGGGAAACAAGAATCAGGCTTGGTCTAAAGGAAAACTGTTCTGGCCTGTCCACTTTAAATGTTCTTGTATTGAAGAGGCTGTAGCACAGAGAGCAACCTTTTTCACCTTTTTCTCCCTCAAAATGAATGACCAGGTAAAGATCTGGTGCACAAGCAGGGGAACAGAAACCCAGTGAAACAGCAGAGTATTGTGGTCAGCAAAGGTTTTGTGAAACGAGATGCTGGTTTTGTTCTTCCCCTTAGGGAACAAGGAGAAAACTTCTCTTTGTCCACATCTCCTTCTGAAACAAGCTCTGTGACAGGTTGCAACCTGTAATAAAAATGCCATATGCAAGGGAATATATATAATATTGGGAAAGCAGAAAGGAATGATACGATCTGTTTGGGCTCTGAAGGTAAATGTTTAGACATTTTTTTTCCTTTAAAATAAGCTGTGATAGATGCTGGTTAGCTGACTGGGAAATGAAATCACAGAGGATTTATGCCGTTAATGACAGGCTATGATGTCAAAGACATTTGGCCTGTAGCCATAACCTTTTGTGTGGCTCTGGTTCATTCTTATAAATAAACAGGACTGCTGCCTGGGTTGGAGTCCCCGTCACTTGGGAACACTGAGAACTGGGCTAAGGAGAACACTTAGAAATACGGAGTGAAAAACAGTAAGAGGTTTTTTCCCTTTAGTTTTATGCAGCAGGGCTGTGTTAATGTTGAAAGAAGCACCGGATTACTGAAACAACACCAAAACCAATCTCACTTGCTGAAGCTCCACTGTGTCGCAGTGATTTACAGCTAGTCAAAAGCCCAGACACATCGTCAGCAGCGTACATCACCGTGATTTGTGTTCTTCTTGTCTCATTTGTAGTATAAATAAGCAGACTGGGCTGGCTTTGATAGTCGTGCTTGTGTGGCACCCAAGGTTTGCATCAGGTGGAAGCAGTGGGAACATTCATGCTGGGCAAGGAGGGTGCAGTGGCAGGTCCACAGCACCCAGATAGGAGAGGAGCAAACCCCAGGACACCCATTGCAGTAATCTCTGAAAGCAAGCTGCAAATCTGACTGCAGAGAGGCAGGGAGGCCCTGAAGTACACGTAACTTTCATATGTATCATATCTGTTCCCTTGAGGAACTCGCAGGCATAATTTCAATTGTATTTTGCCAGGTAATGGACAGGATTTGCTTGCAGCCATATAATGTTTGATACATGGGAGGGCTTCATTCTGCTGTTATTGGTGTCATTTTTCACATAGACTGATTTTTTTCCTTTTGTCCTGTGTCCTCTGGAGCTGTGTTGCTGATGGGTCACAGGTACCACATCTGTGGCAAAGTGAAGCTGTGTGTCTGCATTGATCGAACGGTACCCACTTAAACCCTGTAAAGATCCAGGTCCTCTCACTAACATAACTACCAGCATCACATGGGTAAGTGTTACAGAGGAGCTTCCCAAGTCTGAGTGAAGCAAGCTCTGTGTCCTGCAGGTCTCTGGTTCCCAAACCTCCAGTGACTTGAGCAGCCCCTGTCTGTGCCACATGATGCAGCATCAATCCAGCCCCGAAATATGGATAATAATAGCTTGTGTTAAAGAAAGGCAGAGGTTTATTAAATATTAATATATGGTTTACAGCATGGGTTAAAGTTCCTCTCTTAACATGTATTATCATTTTGCCCAGGAGACTTAATTCCTGAGGGAGGGAATGCTTCTGCTTATGGGGTTTGAAAGTAACAAGTGTATTCACAGGGTGTAAATATGCCATTATATGGGATGCTTTGTTCAGAATTCTGCTACATTTTGAACACTGGTGATAATTAATGGCATGAGGTAATTAATGACAGTGCTTTGCTGAGCACAGGTACTGTGCTGATGTCCAGGGCAAAAGGACCTGAGTCATTTCTGTGTCAGGCTCTTGCTTTTAAACCCCTGAGACTGAGGCAGACGCAGTTGTGCCAAGGTCAGACCATGACATTACAGACTGAAACTCCAACTATCTGCAGTCGGAGAGAGGAAAGAGATGGAAAATGCCAAGGGGAGGTACAAGGAAAGACAGATTTAGTGGAAAGGGAAAAGGCAGCTCCTCAGTCGGGGTAGGGGATGTGCAGAGAAGTATGGAAGAAAGGTGAGTGGGAATTGTATCTTCCAATAAATAATGAAAATGCAATGGGATGTCAGCTTGTAAATCATGCAGGGGCTTCTGGTGACTGTAACAAATGCCTTTGAATACACAGAGATGAGGGAAAGGCTTTGGGAGGAGTGGTTTTTCCAAAGACTCGACACTGAGGCTGGTGTTTCTTGAGTATTTATTAAGACTTTTGATAGGATGAAGACAACTCCCACACTGGCTCAGTGGCCATCAGACACCTCTGGGCACAGGGCATTGTGGATAGCTGCGGTCCTCAGGCTTGGCTACACTATTTGGGCTGTGATGACCATGAACATCCTCCTCAGACAGCACTGAGGAAGCATCACAGAAGAGCCAAGGCTGTTTGCTGCACGTTTGGATGCAGTGTAGCATTGCTCCAGAAGACAATAGGATGTAATAGTTGGATTTTTTCATTTTCATTGATTTGGGGAGATGTCTTAAACCTTATCTAGTTAAAGGCTGTGAGACATTCTGAGACAGAATAGTCATTTGTGAATGCTAGGCAACATTGTATTATTTCCATTGCTTTATCCCATAGATTTGAAGGAGGATGGGGGGATTCCCTTGGGGATGGGATAATCCTGGTGGAGCAGTCCTGTAGCATCAGCTGCAAACTGTGTACAAGACTGAATTGTGAGCTTTCCAGATGAGAACATTCCCCATGCGTGCAGAGTGTTGCCTCTAATTTAAATTCCCCTAATTCTATCCTTAATGTTTTTGGTCTTTTAGACTTAAAAAGCAGAACTGCTGCTTCTTTGTGCTTGGGAAATGATACAAGGCCTTTACAGTCTCAAAACTGGCTTCTTTTTTTTTCCTGAAGAAACAATGTAATTGCATACAAACACTTCTCATCAGTTGTCTGAAGAGTCCCTTTGGCTGAATTGTAAATCACTATAAAGTGCACCAAAAAGAAGAAAAGAAAGATTGGGACATAAATGACTTCTGGAGCTGTCTAGTCTGAGATTCTGTAAGGTAATTAAATCAAGGAACCATGGTCTCATTAAGATACAATTGCCTCCATCACTTCCCAGGTTGTTTATAACAGAGAGCTTATTCCTAAGCAGTCAATAACAGGAGCACATAAATCACAGCAGAGAAAGAGTTACTCCCAACTTTATGGACCAGATCCTCAGCTGGTATAAATCACTGTTGCCCCAGTGATGTCACCTCAGCCATGCTTTATTTAGACAACCCAGAGATCTGTCTCATACTGTTCTCATTTTATTGGCTTTTATTGCATCACCAATTTCAAACACCCCCCTACCCAACCACTGAGGCAGCCCAGCTTTGGTCCCCCTGATCTCACCTCAGCATCATGCCTGAACAGCGTAGCATAGAGAACTGGGTAGCAAGCAAGTAATACTCCTCCAACCTAGAGCTCCTCTAATAAAACATTATCCCTAATAACTAAACTTACAAAAGATCCTTTCTGGTTTTGTGGCAGTAGTTACTGTGAGCAAATCTGCCAGTATGAGGTCATTTTTATATGTGCTGGTTGTATTTCATCAGGCTGATGTCAGGACGGATGTCACCATTGTCAATACAGTATTTGTGAAGCTGGAGATCAATATTAAATACTGGATTTAGGCTCCATTGACAGAGTTGTAGCTCTGACTGTGTTCGACCTTTTTTGACTGACAGGAAGCCAGAGGGGTTTTTCCATGTCATTCACTTAAAGGAGTTTCCACTGCCTGGCTTTATCCTCTTGCTACACCATTGCCCAGTGACAACCTTCATTTGGAATTAGGAAGAGAAAGGATCCCTCTGAGGAAAGAGTAAAAATTCATGAGAAATCTCCAGAGAACAAAACATCAAACCAGGAAAGAGCCCAAATGTGAGGAAACAGCCAAGGAATAACATGAAAAAATGATGAGCAGAGCTGCAGATACTCAAACATAACAAATGATCAGAATCCACTTAATTAGGGATGATTGTAACATTAATTCTCTAGTCTAAAAACACTAACTTCTATGCGTGGCTGGGATTTTGGCACTCAGATAATGGCACATCAGTTCTCTGCTGTTCTCCTTGCGGCACACAGAAATTATGTATGTCCACTATTTTTATAGTGAGAAATTACCAGCAATTTACTCCAAGCTGTCTCACAAATCAAAGCTGTCGTTACAGTGAGGATGAAATATTCATCAGATATCCACACTGTCCTCCTACTGCTTTCAGAGAGGGGATAAACATGTGTTTAAGAACAAATACTCACATATGGGATTTAAATACCTTTATCTGGCAGAACAGGCATATACCCATAAAGAAAACATCAAAGGAGATATGATCTGCATGAGCTGGGTACCACGTAACAAGGCAAATATTTGCATCCCAGCTCCAGCGGGCAGACCTGCAACCATTGCCTCCTTTCCCTCTGCCTGACTTCTCCTCCAGACCTCTGCCCATCTTCCTCACTTTTGCTGCCGTGTAATAAAACCTCTGGAACCATAACCACTGTTTTGTTTCTCTAAGCAGACTGATGCCTATAGATTTTCCTGTTGACCATTTTGACCGTATGTATATGATCATATATTCATATTCATAATCTGTAAATTCATCACCTTCACTAATCCATCTGTTTTCCATCTACTTGCTACTTTCGCCATCTCCTGCAAGGGACTGGGAAGACTTAGACCCTCACGGGTGACAGCATTCCTTCCTGAACCCATGACAGTGCTTTCTTTTAACTTCCTCTTAGCCCATAGATCTTTCTTATGCTCCTAATCTTCCTGAAACTGTAATTTCTTACCCAAAGCTGCTTAAGCAGTTGGAGAGTAACGTTCATTTCCAGGCAATACGTGCGCAAACTTGGATGAAGGCTGGTTTGCAAAAGGAGCTGCCTATAATCCGGAGTTAAATTAAACCTTAATCACTATGTTCTGAAGGAAAGATTTGTCACTGCCCAGCAAACACGTATCTTAATAAAGACATTCATTCTTGCAGAGCACAAATCCATTGCTATCCAGTGGCTTAAAAGGATGAGCATCTGCACACAGGAACTTTGGATTTTCCCTATCTGAAGCAGTATGTCACTGTTAAGAAAAGCTTATGTAGAAGCACTTTTCAGGGAGGAGACATCATTATCACTGTCTGAATCACATTAGCATCAGCAGGCCACGAAGGGCTCACTAAGGCACCTTTATGCAAGGAGTCGCTGCCTGTACTGCTGGCAGCCCAGGCACTGGGCACACAAAGGGCAGCTTCATCCCTGCTGTAGGAAAGGATCCGAGCTGCAGATGAATTAAAGGCTCCTTTTCTTGTGTGACAGTGGACCATGAGAGAGATCAGAAATCAGCCTATGTCTCCTGAGACACCACTGCCTTGTGCACTAACTACAAGATATTGTTTGTCTCCTGCTTTTCTCAACTGCTCGTAATTGCATTTAGAAATGCTCTGGAAGCCAAAGCAAACAAGTGAGAGATTTCCAGTGAGCTTCCAGTTTGTTACTAATCCTTCAAAGACAGTTTTGTCCACAGGGCAATATAGAAAGTTAGCGCGTTGCTAAGCCCGCTTCTCTGCTTTCCGTGTTCGAAGCATCCTTTCTCTCTGATGAGTGACTTTGCTTACAAGCTGACACCTCCCTTTTTGGACTGGACGTTTTCTCCCTCACATGATGGGAAAACCAAATTCCACGCTGAATCAGAACACAGCCTGCACAACTCATGTCATCTGGATTCGTTTCAAAGGACAGGGATTTTGGTCACTCAGGACCTACCTCAGAACCAACTGGAAGCAATTTTGTGCATGGGTTTTTTTCCCCACTATACTACAAAGTATTAACTCATGAGCAGAGCATCCTGGCATAACAGCAAATCTCCACAGGCACTGGGTATTTGCATTGTGCCTCAGATTTCTTATTCCTGATCTCTAATTTTAAATAGAATCTGTGGGGGTAAAAAGAGGCACTCACTGGATTTTTCTATACTACTTTATTTTTACATGGATATGAAAATTCCAGCACCTACTCATCCTGCACTGAGTCACTGGCATGTGCTTATCAGAGGTGAATCTATTGAGGAAAATCATCCTTATTGACACCTTGCCTCTCTCCTTGGAGCCTATTCATGCATGACCTCATGGAGCTTCACAAGGGTTGGCTGAAGATTGGGTGCAGTGTCCATCTAATTAGCAGTATTATCTCACCTGGCATCATACTTTATGATCAGCAGACGTTATCTGGGAGATCTAATTCAAGGGAAACCTATGGGAATATTTCAATTCTGTTATTGACTTTTCTTTTCAAGCCTTGTAATTAATTCCTATTGCCTCAGGCAGGCTGTAGTAGCGGTGACAGATGAGCTGTGCTCCATCACATTTGCAAGCTAAAGCCCAAGCTGCTGTGTTCAGCTGGGTATCCTATCCCACCAGGGTTGGTGACTACCTCTGCTTCTGGTGTCTCTGATGCAACCATGGCAATGTAAAGGCAACACATGGTGGTAGGGTTCCCAGTGAGTATTAAACACTAAGCAAACTCTAGTCCATAGCAGCATGGCACACCAGGAGAGACTCATTCACTTTTTCTTTCCCTCGTCTTCAAGCCTCATAGATTCCTAGGAGTAAAGCACCTCATGTCATTCTCTGAACACTATAGCATGAAAGCCTATTCCAGACTTTCAGAGAAAACACTGAGGAATTCATTGACTTAGACTACCTTCTAAGAAAGGAACTGTTTACAAGTGGGTTTTGGGCCAATAGCATAGACAAAAGTGGTGGGATTCCTGCTTGGCTTTGAAGCCAGGGAGTTCCTTTAAAAGACTGGGGTTTAGACCAAGAAGTCCTTTGGGAAGGGACTAATGACATTGTTAGGTTCTTTAAAACATGGGCTTCAGGGTTGGATGCTCATCAGTTCAATGGGTGTCAAGGTATTCCCCTAACTCAACCAAACACTGCAAGAGCAGATCATTATATGGCAGAAAGTTCATCTAAGACTGGATTAGAGACAAATAAACCTTCTAAGACAAAACCTAAAGGCAGGCTGATACCCGGATATACACGTGGACATTTAAGCCCAACTTACTGACCATGTTTTACATCAGAAATTACGACCTAGTGAAGTGCGAAGGTGACTCAGATACCAGCATGTGTAAATAGTGCTGGTCTGCCTTGCCAATGCACATCTAACTGAGCACACATCGTCCAAGCAAGCCTTCTTGGGAAGTAGGTAGAGCTGGACCTCAGCCAAAGCTTTAAGACACATAGATCAAGGTTTCAGACTCCCTCTATAAAGTTCTAGTAAGTTGGCAAATGGTGTTTTAGTGCTGGCCAATTCCTAGTTTTAATTACTTCTGTGGATGGATTGGGTATAGCTGCTATAAAGTAAAGACTGACTGGCTCAGATTTGTTTTTAAGAACTAAACTAAGCAGATGATTCTTTTATCTGACTACAGGCCAGTCCAGCCCACATGAAGAAAAGGCTAGAGCACACAGCTAACATTTCTTGGCCAGCATGGCACTGCTATTAGGGGAGACTTCCAGCAAACTCTGTCACAAGTTGCAAGATATTTATCAGACACAGTTTGAAATTTCATGACATTTAATTTTTTAAGACAGTAATTGCCTATTTCCTTACCAAAATTAGAAGCAGAAAATGTTTTCAAAAGTCCTCTCTCCAGCAACCTCTATTGTGATTCAGTTTCTTTTCTTTGCAGCTAAAGCATTGATCCCCTTTATAACAGAAGCCCAGTATGGTCTCATTCTGGTCATGAGAGCTCATACCCAATGACCCCAGTTCAAATGCAGGCACAAGCAGTGCCAGGAGGGGAGCACTGGGTCTCATTGGCTGCTGGAAGAACGAGGTGAGCATGCTTTCAAGAGTGACTAAGGCAGCTGCATGATATAAGTTTCACCTTATCAATCTCTTCAAGGAGAAAACAACTTTGCTTGCCATTAAAGTCCTTCTGAAAGCTACAATACTTGTCCTTAGAAACTAGAGGGTGGAAATGGGTTTTCTGTAAAGTTTGTTCCAGTTTGCCACTAAGAAGCTGAAGAGAAGAAGGTGAAGAATAGCTGGTTCAAACACATATGTACATGTGTGTGTATATATATATATATACATAATCATAATCTGAACACAACCTTCCCCAAAGTGACATGGAAAACCATACAGGCCATTTGTTGTCTCTCAATCTACTACCTTAAGAGAGAGCAAGAGAGTAAGAACACAGACAGTTTGCAGGAGGTGTGATTGTAGGGAAAAAAAAGGATATATTGTGCAATTTAATTGACTTGCTGATGTTGGTTCCCATCTCCTTACCTTTTCTTGGTATCAAGCTACACTACAGAGCAGCTACCATCCACTGTAAGTGGATGTGCAGGTAGGTTGCTCTATGGTGATGTCCAGATGTGCTTGACTCCATCTGCCTCCTTGAGGCTTCATCAGAAGCTCTTGACTATGACTACAGGCTTCTTTAACAGCAGTCAGGTCACCAGTCACTGCATCTGTCTGTGGTACAGGCATGTCTGATGGGTAAAGATTTAACAGGCATAATTATCTTGATGAATTAGTGGTATTAAGCCAACTTCAATTATATCTACCTTCCACCCCTTTGTACTGCATGTCCCAGCTGTAAACATTTGTAAAATGCCTCAGTAGCTCTTCGAAATGATTGTACCACAGTTAATGAGAAATTCCAGAGCCCCACATAAAACCATGCTTGGAATGCAAACTGAAACTACCAGGCAAAGCAAATGAATTATCACTATTCTCACAAGTACTTCATGGAGCTCTCCGTGCTTCAGGGATCTTGTTGTACCTTCTGAGGTCTCTGAAGGACATGAAATTATATTGCTCCAAGCATGCATTGTATAACCTTCAAGTCTCTGCAGCATAAATGTGGGTAAACAAGAGAAGAAAATTAATTGACATAATGGCAGGACCTGCAAAAACGACTGGTAGCAAAAGACAAAGGAACACATCTTGTGTCTTCCTCTGAACGTGGTCTGAATTGCTCTCCAAATCGGTTCTCGGAGGACCTGATGTCAGAGGAAAACATCTCTACTACTGAACCCCCCTGTCCTCAACACAACGCAGCTGATTCAATGCTATTTCTGATGGGTGGTGTCTGAAACCAGAGGAGTTTTAAGGAAACGAGGTGAAAATTACTGGGTGTGGGCATGTGATAACATCCCTTTGTGCTGCTGGGCCATCAGTACCCCACCCTTGAGCCCTGGTTTCTCCTTGAAATGCTGCTCTCTTTCCTCTCACACCTCTGTACCCAACTGATCTTTTCCTCCTGGTCATGACTGAATTTGCAATAGGTTAAATGATCATTAGGGTCTCACAGCTTTGCTGAGAACACTGCACATGGGATGCACACAGTTCTGGGATCTCGCATCACTTCTTGAGGTGGGTCCATTTCTAGAGATGGCTGTGGCTGTTATGTATTGCTGTGTATTAGACTGTTGGATTGACAAGCAGTTTCAGGCCGAGCATAGAGAAAGAGCTGAGCAAAGACTTCACTGCTGACCATCTTCACCAGGAGCTTGGCTGCTGACTTCCCCTGCTCCCCTCTCCCTCCCACGAAGCCACAGATGGTTTCTAGGTCCCTAATCCACCAGCCAGCACATGTTTCATGGATGGGGTCACACAGCAAGAGAAAGAGGCTCAGGTCATGGAGCACAGCATCTCCCATTACATAACCCAGACAGAAGCACGCAGACACTGATGGGTGCCACGTGCAGGCTCTGGGGATGGGTCCTTACCCTATCAGCAAAGGTACACAAGTCTCATGGTTGGGAAAGCTGCATGTTGAGAGGCCTGCCACCAATAAATCTGGTCTAAAATCTTGAGTCTAGGTTTACAGGAGCCGAATTACATTCAACCCCTAAAATCCCTTCAAAGGCTTTTAATGTAGGAAAACATCCAGTGGCTGCAAGGGTTACACTACACCTTGTGACTGGGAAAGCATCCGGCAGCAGTCAGCTAGTCATACAGGCTATAGCATAATTACAGCTCCACAGCCCCACAGTATGCTTTGGATTTGCTCCACAGACACTGGGTAATTACTACCTTATAGATCCAAAGCTTTTCAAGGATTTGTGGAGCTGGCATGTGGTACACCCTGTGGAAAAAAAACAGCAGATAGGGCATGATAGAACAGGTATGATACTGTATATTAATTTCCATGGAAACCCTTGTGGGTAAACTGATGCAAGACCAAACAGAGCATCAACTGGCAATTGTGCCATGATAAGTGAGCACTTGCTGATCATTGTTCATGCTTGGGCTAAAGGTTTCTTTGTCGGGTCAGCTAGAATGAGATCATGAGTGCTCTTTGGGGAATGCCTCGTCATACCCACAGGAGTTCTGTGGGGAGAAAAAATGATCACTCCTTAAGGAAAAGTGCTAAAAGATTTTTACCAATTGCCTGCTGACAAACCAGTGGAACATCTGAGTATTCATCTCTATCAAGAGCATCAAAACCACAGCAGAGCTGGACTCAATTTGCCCTGGTGCCTTTTGAGCAATTCAGTGTTTTTCTTCCCTAAATCCTCCCCTCATTCATTTTTCATTTCTGCTGTGACTTCCCAGCAGGCAGCAGAGACAAGGTACGTGCTGAGTGATCATCCTGTTCGGTTTTCCACATCTGACACTCAATGAAAACACGTGGAGAGGAAAGAATGGCTTGCAATGAGTGATAACAGCTCTTCCTGTGGCTACCACGGGACATCACTCGTATGAGGTTGTTGGTGTTAACGCACATGGGATGTGTAATGGTGTACCACAAAGTTCGATGGCAAGGGACCACTGAAGGTTAAAAGAATGGATGGGGCACATAGAAAGTCAGTTGGAGAGTAGCAATCAAGCACAGGCAAGGTCTTCCTGAGCCTCTCTGCTGCCTGGATGAGTCCTGGGGTGTTGTGGCATACCTGGGCTGAGTTTCAAGTCGGCCTCGAGTGATTTATGGGCTGGATGGAGACCTATAAAACCTGCGGCAATTCTGCATGGGGGTTCTCTGTGAGACTCAGCAAAACTGTGAAGCTCCAGCTGAGCTTTGTCCTGATTTTTCTGAAGCTCGGATAAATGTAAACCAAAAGCCTCAACCCAAACACTGCCAAATTATGGGGGATGTGCCAAAACAGAGAGTATTTTTAAAGATCTTCCCCTCTTTTGTGGCTTCTGGGATGGGCATAAGGACACTGAGCAATAAACAAAGGAATACAGAGACAGTGTTTGGTGAACTCTGTGCATGACCTTTTCCACGAGGTGAAGTTATTGTATAAGACTTTCCTGTCTGAATGGGAAGGGAATGAGCAGGACAACACAATAAACCATCTCTCAGCAAACACTGAAGACTCAATTACAAGGCGATGGCCTAATTTCAAGGTCCCAGCCAAACTAAAACAGCTGCTGAGCCACAGTTGGGTGTAAGGCATCACAGGACTGGTCCCCCTTGCATCGGAAGGGCAGTCAGCAGTCCTGGGCTGCTCAGTAAAGGCAGCCTGCAGCAAAGCCCAAACCCCTTCAGATCCATCTATCTAACATCAGGGGATAAGTGAGCTGTAGGTAGAGGTACGCAGTGATTTACTGCCCTTAAAATCTGTTTTCTCTTAAAAGTCTTTTTTTTTCTAAATAGCAAATTTCTTCTAAATAAACAGCACTTGGCTTAGACAAGGCCCTTTCTTTACTGTACACCAGTGACATTGCTCTCGGAAAGCACAGAACCACAGGCAGTGAAAATAGGTCAGGCCTGCTGAGGTAATGGGGATAATTACCCTTGCTCCCAGCCTGCAAGTGGGAAAATGGTGAGATTCCCCCCCCCAGCCCCAAAACTCAGGTTAAGAAGCAGGGATGATGTGTGCTTGGGAAGCACTGGGGCAGATGCTCCCACTAGCTACTGCAAAGCATCAGCAGTTGGATTCTCTACAGCATGCAGCACTTGGGTGGAGAGGGAGGGAAGAAGGGAAGTCGATTAACTCTTCCCCATGAGAGGAAGAGCAAGGAAAGCAATGTTTGTCAGTAGGAAACATGAAAAAAATCCCCAACTCTCAGACCCAACCATCCTCATTCCACCCATCAGATAAGCTAATGGAGCATTAACACTTCTCCATTTCACCCTTCCTGCCCTGCCCTGCAATTTGCAAATGGAACAGAGCTTCTGTATCCCTTTGCTCTTGCAAAGCTGCCCATCCTAACCCACATTTATCTGCTGGACACAGCACAGCACATAGATCAGTTCCTGTTATTAAATCAACAAAAACGGTGATGGTGACAAGTGACAGCAGCTTTCTCCATCCTGGGCTGCTGATGGTCACCTGTCCTCCCTGGGGAGCAGGGTTTGGTGATGGGGCAAAGGGTTGATTTCAACGCTTCCCCCCTTATCCAGGTGGGTTTATAGCCCACATTCTTTCCCATGTGCTTGCCCAGGGAAGCAGGCATGACTTCTAAGAGCTGCTGAATGAAGTACAAAAGCAGCACCTTCTCCTAAGGGGTATTAACACAGCTCTTTCCCTGAGTACAAACAGAGCTCTGTGAGTTCTTTCATGGGGAGCAAATATTGCGATCACATTACACCTACCCTGCAGTCTTCACAGCTCTATAAAACTCTGTCAGAGCTCGAAGTATGTGCATTCAAAAGGAGTAAGTCTGATTTTTACTGATTCATGCAAATTAAAGGTGAGAGGCAAAGTGTCACTTCGTCTCTGCCTAGCCTCTCCCCGGCTCACAGCCCACTGAAGTCCAGGCTTTTAGCTTGGTGCATCCTCTAGAATGGTTCCAGCCTTGCTGGCAAGTGATGGAAAGGTCCACTGGATCCTGCAGTGATTTCATTCTGAGGATGGCATCACTGCTGTAAACGTGTTCACCTAATTTCTTGTTATAATTTTATAATCAATAGCTGCAGCCATCAAAATGGAGCAGGGTATTCCAGGAACAGCCTCTCCTGATACTGTCCCTGTATACTCCAATACCTGTGCATTATTCCTCACTTTACCTGCTTTGTGACTTTTTAAATGCAAAATACATTGGATAGAAGTTGTATGTTGGAATGATTGTGCATTAGTGCCCCT